AGATGATTTCAGCCATTTTGCTAATTCTATTCTATTTTAATCAATTTCTTATTCAAAATAATTTATAATATTGAAAATTTAATCATTATTTCTGTCCTGCTTTAGCGTTTCCTTTTTTCTTACATCAAATTAGCTTTATCTTTTAATTTTTTAGTCGATTTTATGATCATATAATTCAAATAACTAATAACTCATAGTCTTATTTTTAACAATATCCGAATTGAATTCTCTCAAATTTGAAACAATAATTATTAAGCGAGAAGAAAATGCTATTAAAAACATTTGCTGAAAATTTTAGCAAAGATTCATTAAGGATTAATGATAGTAATAACTTGAAGAATATTTGAATTAATAATAATATTACGATATGGTACATCGGTATGTAATTGGGAAAATTGGTAATTAAAAGTTGATAATAATGTAATTGATAAGAAGAAATAAGAGAGATTATAAAATCCATAAGAATTATAAGAGTTATGATGAAGTATATAGTAATGACTTAAAGAAATGAGCCAAAAATGATCATAATTCCAAAATATTTGAACTAATAATGTTACGATATGGTCTATCAGATTGTACAACGGGACGGCGTTCATTTTCATGGACCGTGTAAATTCAAGACAAAACAATCCGAAATTTTCCGGAAATGTAAAATTAGGGAGGATTATAAATGATGTTGTAGATATTGTAGACATAGTATTGATAAGGTCTTTTATTCTACTATAAGACTCGATAAATGCTTGAGAATTAATTATATGCAATAGATTACCGTATAACGTTTAACTCGTGTTATCATGCCACTTCACGTTGTTCGTTACTGAAAAATTGGCGATGAAAATTGCTAATTTCATTTTAGCTCGATTAGTACAATTATCTGAATTATTATATGATATTATCTGTTGATTCTTTGTAATAACATTTTTCGTTAAAATATTAATTACAGGACAAATTGTTGTTGCAGGTAGTTATTTCGTGCATATGCCGAAATATACAGAATATTATGATGGAGAAGTGTTCAATACGTGTAACGTTAGCTCAAAATACGATGGTTTTACGGGAATGCGATACGCTGCATATTGGAAATTGCTTCTGCGAGATATATTTATGCCTCGAGGCTATCCACAGAGTGTTTCTCCAGATTATATGAACTATCAAATATGGGATACTATTCAAGCTTTTGCTAGTTCTATGAGTTCAGCGTTGTCTACCGAAGCAATATTACGGGGTGTAGGCGTAGGAAATACGGTAATTATCAGGTTTTTATTTTGTTATTGTTGTAAGGATTTGATATTAGGTTATCAGTTTTTCATTGTTGTAAAGAACTGTGGCAACAGTTTTTTTTTTTGATTAAGAATTATTGAAGCTATTTCGCGTAATATTGATATTCTAAAGTCAGTTTGAATTTTTTTATTGAAGAATTATTAGAAGTTATATAGCGATGCGGTAAAACTCTATTTGGACCAAAAAATGGATTTGCATTAGGTCGGGGAATTGGAAGGATATATTCATTCAATGCTCTCTCTTAATTTTATAAATTTTTAGCAGACATATAAATGAGAACTAGTACGAATGATGGAATGGTGATGGTATTAAGTAATGGTGGCTACAAATACTTGCAGGCTGCATCAACAATGGCAGCAGCAGTTGCATGGTTACTAAAAGATGGTATTGGAATGCTTGCACGGATTTTGTTTGCATGGCTTTATAGTCCATATTTAGATGCCGATTGTAAGCAGTGGCGATTAATTGCTGATTGTTTTAACGATTTAGCATTCTGTTTAGACTTAATTACGCCAATTTTTCCCAGTCTTTTTATGCCTATTATATGCTTATCATCAATGATACGTGCTGTTGTTGGTGTAGCTGGTATTGCTACACGCACTACAGTTACCAATCATCAAGTACATATCTGTTTATTTCCTGATTTCAATTTTTTTTTTTTTTTTTTTTCAGTATTATCCAAGGCCCAATATTTGATATATTATCAAGGTCTGGAAAATGGCTTCTTATTAGTTCCAAAACTCGTGATTAAATGGAAGATTTAAACAAATACACTGTGACATGTTGGCTAGTGAAGGAAAATATAGCATTATTTACTACTGCAAATTAGTCTGATAGATGGATGATTGTTTCTTATTTAAAAGGGAAATAAGAAATTTGACTGGCACATGATCGTGATTCTTGCAGGCTATATTGGATAATGTGGGAGACGTTGCTGCGAAAGATGGTTCGCAGGAGACACTAATCAATGTTTTCGCTCTTCTTTGTAGCCTGCTATTGCTTCCTGTTGTTAGCGGAAATATCGTTTCTGTTTGGTTGTTATTCTGTCTTTTTACCGTTATTCACTTGTATAGCAATTATCGTGCAGTTAAATCACTGCAATTCAGGACGCTGAATCAGTCGCTGCTTCGAATTGTTGTAAAGTTTGTCTTTAAAAAAAAGAAAAAAAAAAAAACGAGAAAATCTTGACTGTTTGGTATACTGTTCGTCATTTTGCTGTATGACATGCTATGCAATTATAGAATGAAATTTTTGATTGTCAGTTGATAGGGTAAATTACAATTATTATATTTGAAAAAAAATTTTTGAAAAATTATTAGTCATTTATATCTGAAATTTGTCTACCTAAAAATTATGATTGTTTTGTTACAAAATATTATTCTTAATGAGTCATTGCATTGAACTCGAGACAAATCCTTTAATTTTTTTTCGCTTTTCGAATATTGTTTATTTTTTCTTCAGAGATTATATCGAGACAAGAAAGATTAGTACTGTTAGCGAAATGAATAGTAAGGAACCGATACTATTACATTGGAGTTCATCACGGCACTACTATGGATGTCGTTTATCTGATGTGTCAGCTTCGTCTAATAAACTTTCATTTGTGTGTTCGAAATTTACTGTTATCTGTGATTTGAGGAGTAACTATGGTTATGTATCAATGGCTAGTATATCTAATATATCTGATCAACTTCGAGCTGCACTCTGCTTGGAATTAATGTTAAATATGAGAGCGTAAGTTTATCTTACTATTTCATTCCATCAGCAACAGTTGTGAAAGAAAGTTCCTAGTATAGTCATTTCTTCTGTATATTTTATGCTGTAGGCCTGTTATTATAAACATAATGTATTGGCTTTCCTTGGAAAAAGATCTTATTGTATGGAATATTTTTTTCCTTAGCTTTTTTCGGCATTGTGTCAGATTTTAACAGGAGCACTTTTATTTTGTATTTGTCAAGATTTTTCATCCTTATATGAAGAATTATAAGTTTCACAAAGTTCGATATAAATCGTTTTCCAGACCTCCCTCACCATTAGAACTGGACGAATTTGTTGAGAATTTGAAGTCAGGAGGTTGGCTAATCAATAAGCATCGGCTTGTATTCGATCGGTGGACCTATTCTGAAAAATAATTCAGCTCAATATGTGTGATTGTTCTTTCCTAATTTATATTCATCATTATTTTATGTTATTTGTAATGCTTTATGTTGAAAAAAAAATGCCTTAAAATAAGCCTCTGTAATTCAATTTCATATGATAAAAGTCATTCTAAAGTAATTTTGATTCAGAGCAGCCTTTTAGCTTCCTTGCCTATGGCTAGATAATTTTAGATAGTAGAAAAATACAAAGAATATTTCATTGTTACTGTGATCACAAGCAAAACATAATTTCCTATTAGTATTTTCTCCGTAATTAACCAACTTTTGATCTCATCTTTCAGCGATGAAGCAGTATCTTAATAAATTTTCTTAGATTTACTGAGATACATCTTCATGGTTTTAGAATGAGAAACAATGTTCAAAGGTGAAATTATTCAAATAAAAGGATTTTGTTTTATAGAATGTTAATCTAGAAAAAACCCATACATTGTTTTCTTCTGCTGTATCCTTAATTTTGAATCTTGACATGGACTGTGCAGGAAGAGAGTATGAATGAGTAGTGTTAATTGGTCAAACAATTTCGAATTAGTTAAAATTTCCTAGAGTTAATCGTTCGAAAGTCTGTATATGTGGTAGCGAATTGTAGCAAAAGAAGAAATGGAAATAAATTTTTAACTGATTGAAAAGGTACGGATAGTTCATGGATATAACCATTGGATAGTATTGCTGAATGTTCAAATAATATTTTAAAAGCATCAATAATTGGAATAATCGAAAATTTATTTATATTAAAGCATTGATTCAGCTACGTAAGTTGACATAAAAAAAAACATCAGCATGATGAAAGCAAATATCACAAAACAGGTGGTAATTATACAAAATAGATTAATCATTAAAAAGAGTGCCCGTAACAGTCGATTTACCTGTTTTGGTATTATTTTTTTGGTTAGATGATTCATTTATTATTAATGCCCGTAATTAGTATTATAAATGGAGGAAGATTTTTTAAAAAATGATTTTAATCCATGTGAATCTCTATTCAAAACATTAAATTAACATTGATAGTAGGAAATATTGATGGTATCTAAGAAAAGGAAATTTTTTACATTATTATATATCAACAATTGTTTGGGATTTTTAAGATTAAAAAAGATCGAAATTGATAGGTGTGGAGAAAATACCAAAGATTTCTTACTTCACAGCTTATCCGTCTTCTTCTGATTTTTACCGAATAATCTAGGGCAAAAAATAATTTCAATTCTTTAGAAAAAGAGAATTAAAAAAGAAAAAAAAAATGCAAATTGATAAACAAACAGTAATACATATTTTAGCTTAATGGAAGCATTAAACAATTTTTAGTGACAAGAATTAATCATTCAATTTCTTTTATTAATTTTTGTAAATTTTTTTATTCTGTCATCATTTATTTCACAAAAATGAAAAACAAAATTGCAATTCCAAAAAGCCGTATAAAACATGCAGAAATATTATTATTAAATATCTTTAACATTGGAAGATTCATAAAATATTAAAGCTATCTTTGTCTGCCAAAGGAATTTGAAGTTTTAATTTTCTTTTACAAATGCTTGCAATATTCATTCTTATAGTTTTCTATCGTTATCATTCTTTCGTTTCCTAAAACATAAAAGATTAGTTTTATCAAAGATGAAAAAAAAAAAGGAAAAACTAAGTGATAAAATAAGTATCGAAAAAAAAAAAATAAATTAGCTAAGACTAATCTAGATGATGCAAATGTTAGCAATTAGAAAATGATCATTTAAAAAAAAAAAAAAAAAAAACAAAAAATTAAGAATTAAATTACTTTGGTAGAATCGCTGATTTCATTTGGAGAAGATTGCTGCTGTGATGACTGAAAAATTGTCGTACTTTCAACATTTGCATCATTTTCCTCGATCATTACATCATGCTTCTCTTGCTCTTCCGGTATACGAGTTTGATACCTGAAATATAAAATGATTAATTTCAATTTTCACAATACTTTTACTCTATTGCCTAATTTGTAACCTTAATTTACAATTTCACTTCATCAATAATACTTATTAGTGATTCAATATTGCTCCTATTATATTTTTAAATGAAGAAAAAAAAAAGAAGCATTTATGGTTCTTTTGTCCTGTTAATTTATTCAATTCGAAATAAAATCCAATTTGAAAAAGTTTAAAATATAATTTTTTTTTTTTTTTGATGAAAAAGTGGTACCATTCACGATTAAATTCAAGTTGATCAAGTATATATTGTGCATGTGGATTTACCAAATCTGCCCATGTTTCAAATAATGGATGCACGATAAAATCAATGAAGCCAACCTGAAAATAATAAGCTATTATCATCTATTATTTATTATTATAATTTACTATTAAGTATTCTTTTTTTTCTTATTATTATTTTATTATAATTTATTACTATAAATTATTATTATTTATAATTATTATTATATATACTATAAATTGTTATTATTATTATTAATATTTATATTAATATTAATATCATCAATCATTACTATTAATTAATTAATTTTTTCATCTCACACTTATATGCTAACAGAAATTATATACTGATAGCTATTTTCTGCATAAAATTACATATTTAAAAAAGATGTTTTCTTCATTATTGCCGACTTTCTGATGAATTTAGAAAGAACGAAGAATTATTGATATCATAAGAATAATCCAATTAAATGATAGTGCTTCTTATGTTAAGCTGTGATAGCATAGTTAATCATGATATTACTTTATGATAATTTTCATATAAGATACTTTTGATAATCGCTATTAAATTATGCTCAATAAAATTCAATCACTGATAAACATAATAATTTTTTGTAACTACCTGAGATTTTGCGATCGTTATATTATTTCGATCACACATCGGTGAAATATCAATACCTAAATCTCGTTCCCTATCACCTTGTCTCCAGTATTCTTCCATTATATTTTTTACCCAAATACTATATAAATCGATTGGTTTTGTTGGATTTGATAAATCTGCCAGATGAATCATTGTTTGCATAACCTAAAAAATATTTATAGAAAATAATAATTTACTTATAAAAAAATATATAAATGACATACATGCAAATTTCAATTATTGATTTAATAGGAAAAACCTGTATGCGATCAGTTTTATCCAATGTTAAAACTGATGAACCAGCGACTTTTTTTGCTTCAACCATAGTTTTTAAATCAGCTAATATACTCATATGCTTTGACATATCTGTCGCTAATACCTGTAAGTAAGAAAAAAAAGGTATAATTAGATAATATATACTTACAATTGGTTATACTGGTTAGAAAATACAAATTATTGATTGAACCTAACAATGAGCAAAAGTAAGAAATTTTAAAGTAACAATTTTTAGAATAGTTCAATTCTTACATTCTCTTATTTTAATATTTTTTAAATTTACAACATTTTCTTCAAATTATATTTCATTGAAACAAGGAAGAGAAAAAATCTTATAATGTTTGCTTAATGAGTAAATGATATTAACGAAGTAAAAGTTATCAAATAAAGAAAAAGTTTAAAAATTTAGAAATTTGTTTTATTTTAATAACACATCGTTTTTTGCTCTCTTTTGTTTAAACAAATTAGAAAATATCATTAATTCAGAAACATTTTGCAAGTATTATTATCCATGATAAATGATAATTAATAATGACAGAGTTTACATTATGTGAATTATTCCATTAGGAATAATTAAAATTTAACGTATAATTTTAACATATATAAAAAAATCACTTCGATAAATTATAATATAGTGATAACAATTAAAATATAATCCATTCAAATGAATGAAATATATCATAAGCTTACTTATGAATTTCTTATTAGATAAAAAATTTTAGTTATTATTATGTTAAAAAATTATATTAAATTAGAATATTATTGAGGTAAATAATGAAATATTGAATGAAAAATTGTAACATAAATGAAATATAAGAATTAAAAAAAAAGTGAATAAAATATAATATTTATTAGATAATATAATATGATAAAATAATTGCATAATTAAAATATTTGCGTATATTTGAAATGAATTTTAAAAAAAAGAAACAAACCATTTCAATTGTAAGCTTTCGGAATAATTGACGTTGTTTTTTATTAAGTGAAACGATAAAATTACAGTTAGAATCTTGCAATAATTTGAATGCAACTGCTAAATGATGTTGTTCAAGCACTGATTCATCGTTATACATTATAGCTAATTCCGAATCTATAAAAAAAAAAAAAGAAATAATTTTAAAAAAAATAAATGAGAAAAAAAAGAAATTAATTTACTTGAAAATTTACAAATTTACTTCTTTCATAATGAAAGAAAAAGAAGGATGAAAATAAATTTAAATATAGAAATGAAAAAGTTATATTTAATAAGAAAATAAAATTTTAACATACATTATGAACATACAATGACAAATTTTTGAATTTTTCTTTTCTTTTTGAGTTAAAATGAACTAATCAAGAAAGTTACAAGTATTAATGAGATAATAATTGGATTGGAAAAAATAAAAATGAAATTTTGAACTTAAAAAAAGTTAATATAATGATGCAATGATGAGCATTTCTTTTCTTCTTTTATAACCGACAAAAAAAAAATCTTCTTTTGACTTTTTTAAATTTTATTTTAATATGAAGAAAAAAAGTTACTAGTATTAATGAGGTAATGATTAGTAAAACCGGGATGATCAACATCATGTATAGCACCAGCAAATATCGATGCTAATACTTCTAATTCCGAGAAAACATTCTGAAATTTTCAACAAAAAAAAAATAATTTTTTTCTGTTAATATTTCTCTTCGTGCAAAAATTATAACAAAAAAGGAAAATCCAAATATAAATTTTTCTCCTTCGAATTTTCATGAGAAAAAAACTTATAAATGTCATTTGAAATATATTTTTTTTTATCTTAAATTATATAGTGGTAAAAGAAAGAGAAATGATTAATTGATAAAATAAATTTGTTGCATGGTAGTAATGATAAATATAAAAAATAATTGTAATAATTAATGATAATAATAATAACGGTAACGACAATGTTAATAATAATAATAATTATTATTATTATAATAATATTGGGAATAAATGATAAAACCTGAAGAGCTGGTGATGAGATGAGAACGTTGACAGATTGAGTGACATCAGCAGCATGAACTTGATTATGATAAGGATTATCCCTGTAGTGATGCTCCAAATGTAGTAAATAATTTAACAAAATACTTGATGGAATTTCAAATGTTTTCAATAAACCACGTTTCTGAAAATATCTATCAAATAATTTAATTCAAAAATAATAAAAAGAAAAAAAAATTTTTTTAAGGATAATTAATATATCTGTAAAGATCATAACTTTTTGCTAATTATTATTTGAATCGTATATTATAGCATAGATAAATTGTAGAGTGTTATCTTTGCTACAAAATGTTAAGCTATCAGTTACAGTAATGATTAATGATATTTTCAAAAATAAAAAAATAAAAAGGGAGAAGTTAATATTAATTGCTTTCTTTTAATAAAATTTTTAGATGGTTAATTAAAATATTAATAAGCTCGAATTGATAATAATGTTTAACCATAAATTTTGTATAATTGGCAAAGTTGTCGTTTGATTTTTTCCTTTTTTTCTTTACCAATAATGAATAATCCATGCAATTATTATAAAAATTTTAACTTAATTCAAATACTCAAATACAAAACAAAAAATTGCATTTCAATTTTCATCTATCTTTTTTTAAATTTTTAGAGCATCCCTATCACAATCGATAATTTAATTTCTGATTGGTATAAAATGAAATTAAATTGTAGGAGTTTATTTCTTTCATTTTTTTTTGATGTGAAAACAAAGCTATTATTTCGGCATTTATCAAAAAAGAAAAAAGCTTCCGGAACTTTTATTGGATTTTTTCATTTTTGCTTCATTCTCGAATTATTTCCCTTTTTTTTTTACATGAAATTAACAAGAAAAAAAGCGTTCAGTTAAATGGTTAATGATGCAAAGGAGAATTAATCATCGGCGCATGAAGTGCAATAATACTTTAACAATTTGAAATATTTTCCATCCAATTAAATTAACTTTGATGCATTAGCAATTGTCATTAATTTAATATATTTTAAACTTTAAATCGTATTTAAATAAGTAATAGTTGAAATTCTAAATAATAATTTATTATTTTTCTTTTTTATTCTGTTTTTTTCATTTACGCTAAATAACTTTGCTTGAGATATAAAGTGCTAATAGTATTGTATGAAATAAATATATTTGAATTAAAAAAAAAGTATATAAAATCGATAAAATAAGTTATGAATAAATAATTTTATACATAAAAAAAATCGAATTATAAATAATTTCCTATTGCAAAAAAAAAAAGTACGCAATTAAAAATGAATTATTGATTGTTTATATCAATCATTTTGCTATTATTCAATTTTTTTAATTATTTAAGCTATAAATTTTAAATAATCGAAAATGAAAAAGTATTAAAAAGGCTTGTAAAAATAGCATTAATCACATGTAGGATTTAATTTTTTGCACGATATCATTATTAATAATATAATTTAAATGAAGGAAAAAACTTTAAAATATTTTCTAAGAAATAAAATTTGAATAAAAAAAAAAAAGGAGAATTTAAACTGACTTCCATAATAGTGAAAGTAATAGAAGTAAGCGAATGTCCTTTACTGAATTCTTGTATTTTGAATACATTTGGGCCCCATTCATCAAGCTTAAATAAAAGTTTTTTAAAAATGAAATTATTTTTCAAAAAGAAAAATCGAACAAAAAAAAAAAAACAAACAAACAAAAGAGTAAGTGTAATAAATGTGTTAGTTCTTTAGAATATATTTTAAAAAAAATCATATAATTTTTCAGCTTATAATTTATAATCAAAGTATCATTTAAGAATACTTATTTTTATTGCTTTTGTTCATACTTTTACCATAGCAATTAATTCATTAACTAATCTAATTAATATCTAAAATTCTTGTTTTTTTTTTTTTTTTCGATCTTTCCTTATATTTTCTAATGTAATAGTACATTTGTTTAAATGATATGATCAAATTTTTTTCTAAAAAAAAAGTTAAAATTTAATATTTTAAAATTAGATTGAGTGATATGGATTATAAATTTTTTTTTTAGATATACCTTTTGCATATAAACTTCTAATTCTTTGTGACCATCAACGCCATATTCTGGTATATGACCACCGCGGGGCGATTTTAGCTTACGTATGCCAATAATTCGTGACATTGCCGCCGTCTTAGCTTTACCCAACAATGATATTGAAACATTATCTAAGGAAGAAGTAGATGCTGTTTCATCCGGTACCTGCATTTGTAATTATTGTTTATTTTACAATCTTTTTTTTTTTTTTTTTTGTTAATATGTAACTCAAAAATCTCAATAATATGTGCAAAAAAATATTTTGAATTTTAAAAGAATTAAATAAATAAATAAACGTTTATGAAATTTAACGATTGCAAAAATTTCAATTGCAATTCATGAATTAATGAATTGGAAATCAATTGTAATTTATTTGATTTTTTTTTTTTTTTTTTGGAAAATTATATTATACAAAATCATAATCAAATTTTATTAATTTTAAAATTTTAATGTCAACTTTTTTCTATGAAAAAAAATTTTTTTTTTATGTTAATTTTTTATTATTTGAATAAATGAATTGAATTGAAGCAAATTTTAGTATGTATAATGGAATTGGGGAGCAAAATGACAAAATATTTTTAAAAAAAAATTTTGAAAGAGAAAGGAGGAAAAAGTTCATGTAAACAAAGAAATGAAATTGTAAACAAATGATGTTGTATTTTACTACAACAGCTATGATTACTCTTCGAATAGTAATTAAGAAGAAAATTAAACAGTAATACAAAATGTTATTGTTATCAATCATTCTTATTCCATTCATTTGTTACTTCTCTTTTCTTTTTTAAAGAAATTTAAATAATTTCCAAAATAATTTAATTTAAGAAAATAAATGGAGTAAAAAATTAATTTAAAAAAAAAAAACAACAAGAAAACAAATAAAAAACTAAATTTGCAAAAATTGTATTAATATTTAAAATTTATTACAAAATAAGTGATTTAAAAATTACCCTTAAATTTTGTGATACATCGTCATCATCCTTATCCATATAAGTATTGATAAGAAATTGTGATATCTGTGTACCCGATTTAGATGATTCCGCAAAGTGTACAAGCTCTTTGTTGAGCATTTTACGAAACTGCAAAGAGAAAAAAAACAAAGGAAAGGAAAAAATAAATAATTAATTAATCTAAAAGTCATTTATTTTTCTCTCTTAACTTTTTTTTTTTTTTTTGTTAATTTTATCAATCATTATCAAAGATAAAAAATTGTATGATAGATGGAAAAAAAGTGAATGAATGAAATGATTAAATAGGATAAGAAAGTTTGTCCAATCTTTTTTTAAATTTCATTTCCGTTGAAGAAAGAATTAGCAAAATGAATAAGATACGAGGAATATATTTAAAAAAAGAAAAATGGAAAAGGAAAAAAAAATTGAATCACTGATAATTGAAATATTAAGAAAGAAAAAAAAAAAATTGAAAGAATGAAATGAATTTGTTGCAAACATAGTGCATTCATTGAATTTAATTTTGACGGTCAAATAATTATTTTAAATAATTTATTCATTCATTCTTTTTTTTTTTTGTTAATAAATGAATGAATGAATAAATAGTTAATACTACCTTGTCTTCTTTCTTTTTTTTTTTTGTGATATTTGATGATCAATTAAATCTATAGCTGACAAAAATTTTTTTTTTTTTTTGCATAAATCAATAATTTTAGTTTAAATAACTATTATATTTGATATAAACTACGAAAGAAGGAATTAAAGGCAGAACAATTTATCATTATTATCATAAAAAAAGAAGAAAATTAACTACAAATTTATCTGATAAACTAAAATTACAAAGCTATGTTACACTTATGAAATAATATTTCTTAAAAAGATTCACTTACATTAAATTGTATACAAATGTGTTTAAGGAATAAACGTTAGACATTATTCAAATTAAGCTTACCTTGTATGTCAAATGCGCATAATAGTGTCAAATGCGCAAAAGAGAGCAAAAGAAGAGAAGGAGAAAAGAAAAAGACAAAGAGAATGAATGAAAAATTAGTCCTTGAAATTAGCATTCACAATGAATTAAGCAAAAATATCAATAAATGTCACATATTATTTATCATTAAAATATATATACTTTAATTTGATGTAACTTTTTTATTAAATTTTAGTAAAATCCATTGAAGCATATTCAAATTTGTGTACATATGAATGGAAAATTTAAATATTTAATGTTTAGTAATGGAAAATTAAATTGGTTTTCTTCTTTTGCTATTTAAAAAGTTTTTAAATTTATTGGTTTTTTTTTTTCTTTTATTTCTGATATTATCACAGGAAGAAATTAAAAAATTTGCAAAAAAAAAATTTTTTTTTTTCACTGTATATAGATTAAATAAATAATTTAAAACTTTAAAATTTAAAATGAGATATGAATAAGCCGTGATGAGAGAAATTTCATTACTAGTAATAATTACTATGTGTACTAGTAATCAATTGTCAATCGATATCAAGAGATTAGTCAATAATTTTTGCTAGCAATCATTTCCTACAACTTTTTTTATTCACTTTTAGAAGAGATATCGTTTTATCAAAATAAATTTATTTTCTCCTTTCACTAATTTTCAAAATTTCCAAATTTACTAATCTCTTCTGAAATTATCAAAGAAAGAGGTCAAGTTTTTCTTTTGATTAAATATAATATTAAAAATTATTGATTCAGGATTGTTTTTCATTTTCTCTTCAAAAAAATTCCTCATCTTATAATATTAGGAAAAAAAAAAAAACATGTTATAATATTATGATACCTATCAAATAATCAGTCATTCATGAGTTGACATTTATGAAATGGATGAATTTTATTTATTTTTGAAATTTTTCAGTTAACTATTTAATTTAAATCATTTAATTAAAATCTTCAGCATATCATTACGTATATTTTGCTTTTCAAATTATCATTTTTCAAATTTTCATCAAAAAGCGATAAATGTATGATATTTAGTCGAGAAAATATTAATCATTTAGAAAACTATATTTTTTAAAGATATTTTAATCTTAAACAAATGAATAATCAGAAAAGAATGAAACCCAAAACTAATATTTTCTTTCTTTTTTAAGAAAAGAAAAACTTAAAATAATAATATAGCAATGATTTACTTTACTAGATGCCATATCTGATACAGATCGATGGGTTTGGATAGTTTCCAATTGATCCAAACACCAATCCAATTCATCGAGAGTATCTTGGCCACACTGAATAACATCAGCCGGTAACGGTGTGCTATGAAGTGGCGGTCGTTTTGGAATTGGTCTTGGACGACTCTCATCCGCTGGGACATTTGCAATTAAAATCAAATTATTCCGTACATTTCGTAAACTGGCTAAAATTTGTGCAAATGGTGTAACGATCAAATCTTCGCCATACCTAAAAATGTGATAAAATTTTATTTTCATGTGCTCAATTTTATAATTTATAAGTGAAATTATTTTCTTCTTTGTTCTTAATTGCTCCAAATTAATTTTAAGTTATTTCATTTGAACTTATTTCCTTATTAATTAAAAAAAAGAAAGAAAAAAAGATAGCAGTCAATAAAGTATATATTTGTAACTTGGATTAAATTACTACACACAAATAAAATGGTATAATCTTGAAATCTTCTTTTTATTCTTAATTCAAAATAAAAGAAATTATAAATTATATTAATCCTATAATTTCCATTTCATAAACTGTGGTTAAACTTTCTAAATTATTCGCTTTAAAAAATTAGTTTTGAAATCATTTTACTATGTAATAACAATTAACAGCAATAATAGTAATTGTAAGAAATAACAAACAGTAATGGCATTAACAATAATGATAAATAATGAATATAAGCTATAATAATAAACAATAATGGTATATTAAAACGATAATAATAATGATAATAATAAACAGTGATAACAATAATAATAATAATAATAATAATAATAATAATAATAATAATAATAATAATAATAATAATAATAATAACATAAATAATAAACGTCGCAGTAAGTAACTTCGATCATTTTCTATTTATCTAAACCACATTGCAGCTAATTATTCAAAGACTGTACTTCAATTCTTTCAAACAATTACTTAATCATTTCACTTCCACAGCAAAAATTTGTTTATCAATTGATTTTCTTTTCATTCTTCTTTTCGAAAGATAATTTAGCAAATTGATGTAAAAAGTTCGGAAAGCATCCTATAATGTTAAAGTTTATGTTCCATGGGAAAATGGTAATAAGATTTGCATTTACTGCTAGAATGTGGCTTAGAGTAATAATATGATAATAATGATAACGATAGCAGTTAATTCTATCACAGAAATATAGCACAAAATAAAGTCAAAGAATGATGAGCTTATATTCTGCTTTTTTTATTATTTCAAAAAAAAAAACTTAATTGGATTTTTCTTTTTCCTTTCAATTCACATAATTTATTACAACAGTTAGTTGTGATTTGCATTCTGAAATTTATTTCTAAAACTATTTGCAACATCACATTATTTCATCTTTTTATCATTTTTCAGATAATTTAGTTTCATTTCAGTTTGTGTTTTCTGATAATTCATTTCATTTTCTTTTCTTTTACTTAAATGCAAATATATAGTTGCATTAGGCTAAATCCACCAAAATAAAATATAAAATGTGAAATTTTTTTTTTCTTTTTCTTTTCTATTTACAATGAAAAAAAAAAAAGTTAAAATTTAGAACAAAAATTTTTTTCACTTTTTAAAACAAAAATATCCAATTTTGACATATTTCAATGATACAATTTTTCATTTTTCGTAAAGAACAATATTTCATTTAATGCTTTTTAGCTCTTCTCAATAGCTTTTTTTTTCTGAATATTTTAATAGTACCATTGATTCTTTCAAAAAAAAAAAAAAATTGGCTGTTGAAAAGGAATTTTCGCTTTTTTTTTTTTTTTTGTTTCTTTGAGAGATTAAAATGATGAAAAAGGATGATAAAAGAGAAAGATGGGGAGAGAGAGGGAGGCAGAGAGAGGGAGAGAGAGAGGGAAGGAAGTGATCTTATGTGATGCAATTTAGTTTCTTTCAGAAAACAACGAAAACTGATAGCAATGGATATTTTGCATCTGCAATGAAGATGCTAAACTATTCCGATAAGATTTCTCTTGAGAAATGAGCCGAATTATCAAAATAGACATACACATACATACACATACATACATACATACACATACACGCATACATGCGTGCACACGTGCATATATGCATGCATTCGTATACGCACACATACACACATGCATACATGCACGTACGCACGTATACATACACAGACACAGGCATACACACATACAAAAAAATGATAGATTTATGGCTTAGTCGAAAGAATTTCAAATTGAAAATCTCGTAAATATATCTTTCCCATTCATCTCCATTCTAAGAATATATTCTGCGAGAAAAGCAAATTTATTATTTCAAATTAAATTTGTAGTTTTTTAAATTACTTCATTTTTGCATGCTATTTAGATGAATTTAATTCGATTTATCATCTTAAATTGCCAATGATAATTGCATTGCTATGTTTTAATTCAAAAATTAAGCATATGAAACATTTGTGACAATGATATATTATTATAAAGGTTGAATTAAATTTCTCAAATAACAAAAGAGAAAATAAATAAGAAAAATTAGTCAAATTTTACATTTAACAAAAGTTAAATAAACGAATGTGAATCATAATCTGAAATGAATATAATATCATTTTGGTAAACTAATTATCTCAATTTTCATTTACTTTTTCTCATTTATACAATATAATAATTTCTATTTTATCCGTCCTATTATTTCAGTTTTTCAATCCATTAAAAATATTAATTATTGTTCTACTCTTTTACGTGTCATTTTAATGTTTTATCCAATAAATTAACAAAATTAAACGGATGATATGCTCAGATTGTTGTTTAGGAAAAATCAATGCTTAAGAATGGTTTGTCCAATATTTTGAATAAAATTTCAGTGATACATAACTGAAATCCAGGAACTAACAACACAACTGATAACCCATCGAGTAATTAAATAAAAAAAATTAACTAAGAATTAACTAAAAATCCTTAACTAATCATATTAATCAATTAAAACCAAACTAAACATCGAAACTCTATTTTTTGGAAAAACTTCTTTGAATATAGAAAAAAAATCAAATATTTCAAGAATAAGATAAATTTCATTTATCAGAAAAAAATTGTATTGGAAATTAATGAATAAATTCAAAAGAAAAAAAAGTGTTAAATTTTTGCTATTAATTCTCATACACACTTTCCATTTTACTTGTATTCTTTAATTTTGCTTTCATTTCTATACCTTTTAAACAGATTTTATCAGAGCAATTGCTGCGTAATAGCTTTATGTGAATCCATTTAAAATTTAGAGATGCAAGAAAAACAAAACTGAATATATTTATTTAGAATGCTATGCAACTAATCCTAGAGACGTATAAAATTTGATTGACAAAATTTGACGGATAAATTTAAAGAAACATTGCTACTTGACGATTTGTAGCATTTAGATTGCTGCTAAGTAAACAAAATCATTTTCAGAATAAAATGAAATGAAATTATTATTTATTTATCCCTCCCATACATTCAAGGTTTTGATAAAGATGCGGTAAACGCAGTAATAATTTTACAGCGAGTAATTCATGTGATGATATTAATGATAACAATTTGGTAATTTAATAAGAAAAAACAAAAATGTAATAATGAGTGAAATAATGACAATTTTAAAAGAATCAATACAACTGATTAGAAAGAAGAAAAATGAAATATTTTCTCGTCGAATTATTAAAAACGAGTTTCACTTTGGATTTGAAATTATCAATATGTCCATTCAGCTTACCTTTTCATTTCCATTCAAATGTACATTTTAAATTTTATTTGTGTATTAATACAAAATTGAAGATATGCTTCAAATTGTAAATTATCCAGTTGAAGTAATCATTAAGAATTTGATAGAAAGGTGTAAAGATAATATGTGATATGAAAGTTTAAATAATATATCATGTAATCAAATGATATTAATAGCTGTACTATTAACGAATTATCATTATCTCTGAGTGTAATCAATCACCCAATGACGTTTATCACCGGACTGTGTTACAGGAAATAATCGAAATACAACAGAGAGTAAAATGAATAAAGAGCATCTGTTAAGGAAATTGATCTAAATTTGTTCATTAATTATGTTAATCTGTTCAACCAAATCATCTTGACTAATTCTTTAAAATCAATATTCCTTCTTTTTTAAAAAAAGACATTTCTGCAGCATACCTTGCAAACCTTTAAAAAAAATCATTGCTGCAAATTTCATTTCGATTATCAATGCTTAATATCCTTATATAGCCTAAGCAAAAACCATAAATGAGTAATTAAAGCAAAAAAAAAAGAATTGAAATCTAAAATAGGTGGCTACACAGCTTCGTCAGGTAGTCATCTCATTCCTTCAGAAAAGGAAGAAATTTTGTAGACCAGAAAAAGACGGAAAAATAAAAAAAATTAAAATAAAAGAGATGAAATATTTCAATTAAAATATCTCAAATGCTAAGCAAACAATACACAAGGATGCAGTAAAATTAAATTGCCAACCAAACAATATAAGTATCTAATACGTATATTGTTTCGTTAACTTTATACTTTGTATTTTATTTATTCGAATACACTTTTCTGCCTTCTTTTTTTTTTATTTCTGGAAAGAAGAACTTTGCTATGTATATTATGTCTCACATGCAGATACAAATTTAAATAAATTTTAAATCAGGGAAAAAAGATTTTTAAATTAGAAAAGAAAAAAAAAAGATTTACTACAAGCAGAAAGATTGAAAATGAAGAAAACAAAAAAAAAAAAAAAAAAAAAAAGGAAAAGGGTGAAGAGTAAAGGAAAAAAATTTACAATAATCAAAAAGTGCTTACTGTGCTGCAATAGAGGTGATCGATGAAGTACGTGAAGCGGAACGATTGAGTTCACGTTCGTCGATTGATGGCCGATAAAGAAAGGATTCACGTCTAGGTTGGCCACTGCTTGGGCCTACCTTTAGATTGCTTGTGTTAGTAACGTCCACAGCAACAGTTGTAGCTGGGGAACTGAAATCGGTCGAATTGGGCCTGAGAAATTGATGAAAATTCAGATCACGTTTCTGGGTGGTAAATGAGGTACGCCTCGTATGAGGTTGCTGTGCTGCCATTGTTGTTTTTATTATTATTATATTAACATTACTAATATTATTAGAATAATAATAATTTTATTTTTATTGTTGCTATGATTAATATTTTTGCCGTTGTCGTTGTAGTCGTTTTCTTCTTCCTTTTATAATTACTATTGCTGTTTTTTATTGATTTATCAATAAGACTGTTTAAAAATATCAGTTAAATTAAAATGATTTGTACCAAGTACTTTTATTTCTCATAACAATAAGAAAGGTAATGTAGCAGTAATAACAATATCAAATAAATATAACAAAAGAAATGAGTGCAGTAGTAATAATTATTGTTTATTGTTGTTGCTGTTGTTGTCCGCAATAATGATAGTAATAGTAGTATGAGTATAGAAAGGTATGCTATTATAAAATTTATCATACATTATTATCAGTTAATAGCCGTAAATAGAAGAAATAATAAGACAGGAGGAATAATAATGCTTCTTCCTTTCTTTTTTTTTCCTTTTGATTTAAATCGATCGATAGTACTAGCTGATATAATTAGAAGGAGTAAGAAAAATAAGAAATGATGGAAAATAATTGATAGAAGAGAAGTTGCAGTCCACAAGAGAAAAATATGATAATTCTGGAATATATTTTAAATATAGGAATTTTCTTTTTTTTTGTTTTTGCAAAATATTATCAAATATTTTTTATCACTCGATGAAAACTGATAAATCACAAAAAAAAGAAAAAAGTGAGAAAAAGCTTCTGCACAGATCTCCAGCACCAAAAGCTCCCTAACAGTTTAGGCTCAACGTCCTTCTTCTCCTCCTCTCACTCCATTCAACTGAAAGATGTTGCGATGTCAATTGCTTCATAAATGTTTCCCCCTCTATGCATGTACGCGTGTGTACGCGTCTGTCATTGCGTGTGTGTGTGTGTATTTGTATAGATACTAGTGAAAAAATATATAAAATGCTACTGAACAAAAAAAAAAAGAAAAAAATTCTTTAAAATTATGAATAATTGGTCTAATTAATGAACTTATACTTAGCCCAAATGTTATATCTCAAAAAATATATATATATATATGTTTAAAATATTGTGTCCTATACCTAAATATTATATTTAAACTTAAAAATTATTTCTCTACCATAAATTTTAAAAGTGATATTCTAAATGAAAAAAAAAAAGTTAAGAAAGAAAAAAAAGAGGAAAGAAAAATGTAAAAAATAGGGAAGATAGAAGAGGGAAATAAAAGTTAGTAAACAAAAGTGGTAGCAATAATTAAGTCTGAGAATAATGTATAAGGAAAAAAATGGAAGACAGGGATGGAGAGAGACAGAGAGAGAAAGGGAGTAGAAAAGAGGAAAAGAAGTGATACAAAAGAGAGAAAGAATGAGTGAATGAAAAGTAGTATTAGAATTTAAACAAAACTTGTAGAAAAGGAAATTGAAAAAGATTGTTTGATTGTAAAATGAAAGTCGATAGGAAAATAAGAAAAGAAAAAGTAAATGATATTAAAAGTACGAAGGATTTTTTTTTTTTTTGTTCTTTTGTAAAATGAATTTGAAATGAAATAACATCAAGATGAAACCTACGATTAAGCTTAAATATCTACTAATAAATTAAACTTTTTTTTTTTATCATCACTTAACATTATAGATAGTTTTTGCTATCTTTTCCTCCTCTCTCTCTCTTTAATATGATCGTTTTGCATTGTTGTATCTTATTGCTATCATTTACGTCTATTTTCTCTTTCTATTTCTTTTTCCTCATCTTTTCTTTCTTTCTTTTTTTTTTTACTTTTTTCAAAAAGATAAAGCAGAATAAATAGGTGGGATTAAATGAAATATTCAGTAACAAAAACAAAAAGTATCTCTTTTCTTTTTTTTTAAAAAATTATCAATCCTTTTTTCCCATTCCATATTTCTTTTTTTTCATTTTTCCATCATTTTTTTTTTCGCTAATTATTTTCTTCTTTTTTTCAGCATTATTTTCTTAAATGAAATTAAAAAGTCAAAAAGGAATACAATAAAAGCACAAGTTTTCTTGTAATTTTGTTTTTTTCGATTGATGAATTTATAAATAAATGGTAATGAATGAAAAGAAAACAATAAATTAATAAGTAATAAAATAAATTTGGTATAAATAAATAAACTGATTAATTGGTTAATTCAGTGAATAAATAAGCTGATTAATTAATTACATTAATAATTAAACAAGTAAAACAAACAGAGCTCATATATGTATATTCTGTTGCTGCATACATAATACAGTAATAGCTGAATTATCAGTTATCAAAATAGACGTAGCACTAAAAAAAAAAAAATCAAAAGACAGTTAAAACGTGGAGAGTTAGCACAGAATTATAAAAATGTCCTTTCATAACAGTATTCCATCAACTCTCAATCAATACCACCATTTATACTAATTAATTGAAAGTGCTATTTCTTATTTCTTGACTGAGAATTAAATGAGTGCTGTAACTACATCCAACTTGTATTACCTCAAAGGAAAGCAAAAAAAAAGCATGAACAGGTATATTACTGTCCCCGAAATTTTATAGAATATTCTGCAAGCTTAGCAAGTTTTATTGTAAATGATAAATAAGCCTATTTTATTGTCATTTTTCTCATTATTTATGATTTATATATTTAAATCAATCAATCACTTTTTTTTCTTATTTCCATTCCGTTGATTGTTGTACTTTCTCCTTCTCTCCTTCTAAGGTTTTTTTCAAATTCTCATTTTTTTTCTTTGTTTTTCGTTTTTCGTTTATATTTATATCAGCTTTTTTTTCGTATAGCTATGCCAATAAAACAATTAAAGATTAGGTATTCCAAGCTAGTTTAAACGATTAGTAATGGTTATTAGTGATTATTATTAATTGTGTATAATAATAACTTGGATACAGTAATTAATAATATCAGTAATAGTAAAAGTGATAACTAACTAATTCATAGATAACTATTAATAATAATAATGAGTGATTGAGAGAAAGTTTAAAATTTAACTTTTTCGCAGCAATTTCTCTTCATCTAATACTTTCACTATATCATTATTTCATTGATTTCTCGAGTGGCAAATGGTAATATTGATACCTACCTGTTACTTGCAAGTTTAATCCGTTGAAGATACCTGCTACTTACATTTTAGTCTTTCACTGTTCACTATTTACTTTTAACAAAAAACAGGGAAGGAGAAGACGAAAGTAATGAAAAAGAGGAAAAGAAAAAAAAAACTGAACTAATTCCATGGAAAAAAAAATAAAATTCACAATTCCATTCTCTTCCATGCATTCAAAAATTATAAATTATGAATAATTTAATCAATGAATAAAACTCAATAAGCATAATTAATAATAATAATAATAACAATAATAATAATATTATTATTGATCATTGCTATTCTACTGTTATTACTAATAATAAGCATTATTACCAGTATATTCGGCTGCCATCATTATAATCAGTAGGCATAGTAAGTAAGATTTTGTCAAATCCATCAGAAAATGACATCAGAGAGAGTCGAGAAGCTGCAGATTTGACAAAATTGAAATGATTCAATCCAAATTATTCCTTAAAATTTGCATTCGCACAAATTATATTATTTTCATTTGAATAGATATAATTTGTCGTAAAATATGCCAAGAAAAAATGTGATATTTATCTATGAAATCGAAATATTTTTAAGCAAATTCAAGGGATGCATTTCAAATCTTCGGAATAATCCAAGAAAAATGTGGTTGTGTGAAAAATATTCTCAAATTTCAAAAAACAGAATTATTAGAAAAGTTATTAATTAAATCATTCAAAATCATTCCACTAAAAAAAATCCAATCAATAATCATTTCAATAATACTAATACCACAAGAAAAAAGAAAGAAAGCAAAGAAATTAGAGAATGAAAAAATCGAACTGAGAAAAATAAAAAAAATACTTCTTCCAAAAATAAGTTTATCAATTTAAATTGAAAATTGAAAATTTATTACGGTTCTTTTTCACTCCTTATGAAAATAAAATTTCAATGGAAGAACTATTAATTGGAAATCATTCCAAGTTATATTCCTTACTACACCTACATATAAATATACTTATACACATATATCCTTAAATTTTAGAATTAAGAATTTATCTTCTAAGGTAGATAATTTACTGACATACCTGCTAAAATCATAAGAAGGATACTGGATAATTGAAACAGGATGATAAATCGTATCTTCCATTTGAAAAAATAAATAAATATTGAAAAAATGAGTGTAAAAAATTTTTTATTTATAAAAATGAAAACGGATGAAAAGGAAAAAAAAACTGAAAAATTTAAAAAATGAATCTGATAACGGCACCAATGTGATTCATTTTATAATTTTTATCCTTAACAAAAGAGGAAAATAATTTTTCCTTTTCAGTGCATTAAAATTGAGTTAAAAGAAGAATAATTTCATCAGCAGTTATTAGCTACTAGGATTAAGAATATTTTGAATGAAGAAAAAATGATAAAATTAACTATCAGAAATATTTTGAAAACACTTCAAAATACATCCATTCCACTTATTTTCGTAAAATTTTCCACATGCAATAATAAAGAAAAGAAACGAAAGGAAAAAAACGAAGAAGGAAAAAAGAAGTTTATTCGTTTATTATTTTGAAGTACAAACATTTCAACAAGTTTCGCTATAAGCCAAAAAAAAAAAAAATGAAAAATGAAAAATGGAAAACGGAAAAAAAGAAACCATACGTTGACAAATTCATACTAAAAAGGAAAATGAACAAGAAAAAAAAAATTTTACGTTTTTTTTCCGTTTTTTTTTTAAAAATCATTCTTAGAAGATGAAAGAGAGAGAAGAAAGAAAAAAGAACAGAAACAAAAATTCATTCGAAATAATTGAATTATTTGAATCTATTCTTTCATGAAAAAAAAAAAAAAAGGAAAAAATGATGGCCAACGAAAAGGAAAAAAAACTTTCATTTTTTTTTCTTTTCTTTTCTTTTCTCATTCAACATCATTTACTTTATTCTTTTTTCGCTTTCCTCTAATTTCGT